ACATATGGGAGCATCTTCAAGGTGCTAGCCACCCCCAGAGTTGGTTGCCCCTTTTTTTGCCCCATGCCGGCTAGGAAAGCCAGGTCTTGACTGCTTTCTGGAAGGACAAGAGAGTTGCGGCCTGCCTCACTTCTGGGGGAAGGGTATTCCTCCTTTCTCTATTTTGCATTTTTTCCCTTAAGTTTCCAATAATTTGTTTTTCATTTAAGACTGATGATGACGTGAACAGGGAGCTCAAGAACACCAATTTCAGGCTGATTTCCACTGACTACCATGAACTGGATGATCACATGAATCAATCAATTTATGTCAAAAGCCCTAATTTGTGAACAAATTGAATATTAATACATTACATGGTATAATAAATGTAGTGCTGATATTTATCCCCCAATTGCTCTTAAGTGTGGGTAGCATTCTCAGAGTCCTTTATAATTTTTAAAGAATGTTTATAAGCTTGTTTTTTTACTATCATGTATAGAGCGTGTTGGTACATCCTGGTTTTTCTTGCTACCTGTTTCTCTGTCTGTGCAGCCTTCCTGATTACCAAACTTTCTGAGCTGAAAAGAGCTCACAAGAGGGTATCTCTCAGACTGACTTCCCTTGGGATTGAATTGAACCAGGGGAAGCCAGTGACCCTGCTGAGTGCTAGAAAGAGTTTTGCACAATGACAAACATTTTACACAATTTAGGGCACCTTATAACTAAACAAAGTGCAAGAACCTTATACCTCATTGATGATCATTTCATGAACTTCTTTCCAATTAAATTTCTTTCTCATTAAATTTAAGAATGGTTTTAAAAAGGCAGAATAAACTTGACCATGCTAGTAATAACCCAATCTCAACCCAATGTAATTGCTCAAAATCAAGAGAGAATAGTTTAAAAGTCATTCAATAGCTATCTTTTTAAAATTTATTTGACAGTGATTCCAGAATTTATTACTCAAGTCAACACTGCACTGGAAAACTTAAGCAGGAATACGATTCATCTGTTTGATGATAATCAATTTGTTGACATCTCTAAGAAGATTTATGACACAGTTCATGACATTAGATGTTCAGTTATGATGATACGGGTAAGTGTTCTGATTCTTTCATTCATTTCCAATTAACAGATGTGTCATTAATATTGCTATGCAACATTTATACAGGCAGGAACTAAACAAAAATAGCATGGAAAAGCAGTTGCGGGTTGTTGTTTTTTCCCCCAATATAATGAAAAGTATTAGAATGCTGCTGAGTAAAACTGTATTATTGCATTATGGACCTATTGTATCTACTACCGAGAAGAAAAATTCACTATAGATTTGTTCCATATGGTCCAGGGCTTCTCTTGTTTCTCCAAAGATATATTGTAAATAAACAATGATGGAAAATAACACTTCAGACTATAAAAGTGTCTTATTTCTAAATACTCCCCACATATAACCAGCATGTGGGTATGGCAGAAGCTATCCCGCCATGTAGTAATGTATAAGTCAATTACTGGGATTCAAATATTTTTTGACACCCTTTCGTCCACAGGCCAAGCACTGGGGCAGAAGCATCCTTGGCTTAACACCCAGCAGCCTGGTGCTTGAATGTGAACCCTGGTGAATGCTGTTCTCTGATATAAATAGAAAGGTCTTTCACAGAAGACAAGCCGGTGGGGCTACGTTGCCAAAGAGCCTGAGGTAGATAGGATCTGAGTCCTTCCCATGTAGCCATTCATTTGAAATCAAGCTTCTGTTCCAGTCTTCCATTCCATTTCACAGAAGACAAAAAGACAGTGTGAAACAAAGAAGCACCTAAACCTGAAAATGCAAAGCACTTTAGTGTAACAGTGGCTTTTCATGCTACTTCACTTCTCATTGCTTTTCATGGCTGCTCTCTTTTGTCACCCTTAATCTCTCCTCATGGGTGTTCCATTTTCTGTTCGTACTTCTACCTTTGGGATGCTATTTTCAGATGCTCTGTTTTTCTTTTTTCTTTTCCTTTTTCCTGCACAAGCACAGGCTTTGCTAGATGCTACTGCAACCACTGCTACTACAGAATGCTGTTGCCTTGCTCTTCCCAAATGAATGATAGTCACCTTCTACAGGCCTAGGCTAGCAAGGAGGAATGCCAGCTAGCCTTAGTGTCTGAGGCAGAGTCTGAGATTCTGGTCCTGTGCATCTGAGGAGAATCCTCAAAGCCAGCACATTCAATGCCATAGAAGAGGGTCCTTTGATTTCTATATGCAAATTAGTTAGAGATGATAGGCAAGTTTAGTATGTTATTCATGCTTAGAAAAGCTTTATAGAAAAATAGATTTTTGCCCAGACATCAAAAAACCAAATTATTTGCTAACTGACACATTTCTTTCAAGTACTGCACCCACATGAACAGAGGCAATGCAGGGTGAACACTTTCCTTTGTTATCAGATGAGCAAATTCACCTACACATATTTCTAAGGAATGTTGATTCTCATCTCTGGAAAGGAAAACAAGTTTTCTTTCTAAGAAAAACTTTTTCATTATACTAATATACTATACAATGGTAAATGTTTTTTGCACAATTTTTCTAAGATAGAAGTTGCAAAATACAGGGGTGATGTTGTGGGGACTGAGTGACATTGGTGCTTTCAGAACCAGGCTTACATGTTAAATGTAAATTAAATTTAAATTAAATTTACACATGAAGTGAACACTTCAAATGAACTGTTCATAGTTTTCTAAATGCTATTATCATTGACTTGTATTAGATACATTGGCCATTTTTAAATCTGCATATTTGAACTATCTAATAAAAGAATCTATATCTAGGTATCTAGTCTATCCATATAAATGTGATGGAGCCAAAATTGCAACAGAGAGTGTATGGAAATGTGAATGCTTCAGTAAACACAAGGGAAACTTTTCTCTCTCTGTGTCTCTGCCCCTTCAAATATCCCCACCTCCAAGCAAAAAGGATGCAAAGAGTTGAAAAGAACTCTTGTTGGCATTTTCCAAAAAATCAGCAGGTACAACCTGCCCTTCCTTCACCAAAGAGGCCAGCCTCCAACCTGTTACAAAGAACACGAGAAAGAGATCCAAGACCTGTTCTCCTAATTTGCCTATGTGTAGTTTGGTCATCTGAAAGTAAGGTACTTGCCAACATTCTTATAATCAGAGCAAGTTGTTCTTGGGATTAACCACTTTCAGTGTAATCTGCTAAAGAAACCTGACAAAGAATTTATCCTTTTCCCCCACCCCATTACATTTCCAGAAAATATTGTCTGGCTATTTGCATTTTAAAATGAAATAATCTAGGCAGTTGCAACAAAAATCCTACCACTCCTCCTATCACATGAAACACAAGTAATTGGTATCACCTTTTACTCCCACTGTTCCATGGGGCAGCTGTTGGAAAAATCCACAGAAAGTCTGCTGGTTCCCTTCTAGAGTGAGGAGAAAAGCAGGTAGACCTAATGTAAATTTGCCATTGTTCTCTTCACTTGAGCTATCATAACAGTTGCAAGAATCTAAAAGAGTCAGATCAGCCCAGATCAGTTCCAGCTTCATTTTAAAATGCAAATAGCAGGGCAATGTACATTTTTCTGGTTGTATGCAAACACAATCTGAGCAGTTGCTGAGAAGGGCACCTGTCAAGTCACCTTATCCCTTTAAGTATCTGTGAATAAAATGCTACCCAGCAGGGAGGCAGAGTGAGATCAGGGTTCCTAGGCTGTCCACAAACTGTTCATTGATAAAAAGGGAAAGATTTTTTCTTTTTTTGCAATGTAGTTAGTTGAGTCAGAAATAAATCAGGGCAGTTGCTGAAGGCCTGAGCATTTGCTTATGGACAGAAGTCTCTTCCAGTGAGCTACACTATGTGCTGGAGGATGCCTGTCAGTGTGGAGCTCCATGGGGAATTATGGTATCATTGTCTCTTGATGAGAGAAAAAGCAGCGTGCATGGCCGGCAATATTTCCAACTGATTAAAATAATTTGTGTTTCTTGAAAATGCTCCATACTAGTATGGAAGCAAGATAGTTTGTACATGTGTGTCAGTCCAAATTATAGCTCACTGTAGGCCATTAGATGTTATTTATTTTATTATTTATTTTTGTTTTCAACGCACTTCTCAAGGTGGTTATATATATTCCACTGCTCTATGCCCCAAGGAACAATTCCTAATATTCACAGACCTTCCAGTAATAAATAACCAAAACTAATCTCTCATACTTTCCCTTCTTGGAAAGAGACCAGCCCTTCCCCAAAATGCTATATTGCTCCCTCCCTCCTTCCTCCATTTTACTCAGGGGGGCTAAGTGACACCAGCAGGAAGGAAGATGGATTAGGTATCACACTCCAAGGTCTTAGTGTTAAACATGATTTATGTTTATTTATGTTAGAATAGTTAATACTGGATCTTGAGAAAAACCAACAAGACATTTCTGTTCCCTAAATTCCAGCACAGTCCACTGCTCGCCTAAAGCATTGTGAGGTTTGTTTTAATATCACAAGGCCCCCTAACTATGAGCCCTGACCCCTTCCCCCCAAAACTAGGGTGGATATTTTGCCCAAAAAAAGAGTTGAAAGAAAGAACAGCCTGTATTTAGAATGAAGGATGCATTTAATTGGATACCAGACAATCAATCCTAGATTATTTTAAGCTCTCTATTAGGCATTTCAGCATATCTGTGCATTATTTAGGCATATGAACCTTCCACAGCAGCCAAGGTAAGGAAATTATCATGCATTGCAGCCAGCTGCTGGCTGCGATACATTGATTCTCTGCCAGATGCATCAGGCTTCTGATTATACAAGGAATTCAGTGCTAATGTGAGCAAAGATTCTTGATCAAAATGTAACTGGGAGATGCAGATGAACAATATCAATTCACATGGCTTCCTTCCAACATGAAAGGGGAAGGAGACTCTCTCAATGGAGGTTTTAACTCGGTAACTACAGTGAGGGGTGTGTGTGGCTTATATAGAACTCTGTCTGTCAACTGATGTTATTAGCTCAGTCTGCTAATAGCAATGTTCAAAGCTTAAGCAATTACTCAAAAATGTAAATATTTAGGAGCCAAACAGAGTTTAGTATAAATGCATACTATATTCCTGTGGTAACAGCAGAATGTCAAATTATTGATGACCATCTTGCTTCAGACTCCATTATTATTCTGAAAGTTGATCTGTTGAAAATGGCAATTAGTCCTCGGCTTGATTATTGGTTCAAAATAATTAAGC